TTGGATATTGAGAAATTCTAATTTATTTCTTTTAATAATTATATTTACATATTTTATGATATTTTTTTTTCAAATTGATGGAATTCTGGAAGGATCTAATTTTTCATCTCTCTTAGCTAACTTATTTTTGCATTATTATGAAAAAAATTATACTCTTAATATTAAATTTTTATTAGATTTATTGATGATTTAATTATCTTCAATTTTCAAGATTATACTATTTTATTAAATAATATTTATCCCGAGGAATTTAGCTTGCTTCGTAATCATGATGATAATATTAATTACAATTTTTTGTATTTAGGAATTTTAAAAGAAGGAAATATCTGCTTTGTTGATTTATACCATGAAAGAAATTATTTTTATTTTAGTATAAATAAGCTAATTACTTGGAATTCTAATGTTTCTAATAATATCTATTTGAATACCATTTTTAATCAAATGAATAGAATTAAAAGAATATGTAGTAATGTTTATTAATCCAAAAAACAAATAGACAAGCTCTTTCAAAATTTGATAAAAAAAACAATAGATACCCAACTAAAGTAATTAAATTCTATATTGAATCAATGAGTTAATTGTATATTATTGTAAATAAATTTACTAAAAACCTTCTTTGTTAATTTATATAATTTTTACCATGTGAAAATCCTTTTCGTGCAAATCATGCTAAAATTATGCGCAAAACAGGCAATTCATGTTTCTTTCTCTTTTCCTATTTTATTTTATATTTTTCTTAAATAAAAGTTAATTTTCTAAAATTATTAATTGTCAACTTTTTTAAATTATCCAGTATAATATTTCCTTGCACACATCCATTTTCGGGCCCATGCTTAGTAACTAACAAATCAAACTCACTTCAGTACTGCAGTAAGAACGCACTATAAAGCAAAATCCCTCTATTTACGCTTTTGTTTTCATATTTTGTAATCTGGCAATCTTCTTGTTACGAAAATATTTTAAATCATTCTTGTAAAATTTTCCGTTCATGTAAGTTTATTTGAATTCGCAACTCGCTTTATAGATTTCGTTTTATGTTTTATTCTGTTTTTTCTTTATATTTTATTTTCGGTTTTTACTTAATGTGTTTCATTTTATTTGCTGTAAATTTTTTGTGAATTTTTTTTTTCAGTGCTCCTCACACTGCACTATGTATTGATATATTTTGCTTTGACTGTATTGATACAATATTAGAAAGCACTCCTTTTTTCGGATATAATCGCTTGAGCTGATGAAAAGATTATATCTTTTGTTTTCCGGATTTCAATAATTTTTTTCTTCCTTTTTTCGTTTTTTTCCGGATTTTTATTATTATTTTTCGTTTTGCCTTTTTTCATTGTTCAGTGATTTTTCCATGTTTTCTCTAGATTTTGAACTTATTTTATTATTTTATGAGTTCTATTTGCTTGCAGCTTATGCACAGTAAATAAGACTTATTGTTTTTTTTAAATTTCTTCACTTTTTTTCTTTTTGTATATATATATATATATTATAAAATAAGCAGAAAAAATATTCACATTGGAAGTAAATTAGAAACGAGGAAAAAAATAAAATCGCGATTGAAATCTAACAAATCCCGAAATCATTATTGTGGAAATAATAAAAATTCATTTTATTCTTGTGATTTCAATGAAGTTTTTCCTTTTTCCTTCGCTTAGTTATCATTTGCACTAATGTGCTATTTATTAACTTAATTTTTAACAAGAATTCTAAAGATAAGCATTTTAAAGGCGGTGATTACAGAAATCCCTGAATATATTTGTTAAGTTAATATTTTGTTCAAGAAATAGGCTTAACTTGGCATGTTTTAAATATCACATTAAAACATTAGCTTTTAAAATATCAAAGCAATATTATTACTGTTCAAAAAAAGTTTAAAGAAAGTAATAATCCTATTTTTGCTTCATTCTCTCCGCCTATAGAATTCTTGACGAAAATTTTACGTTATGTGAAACAAAAAATGCTGCAAAGGATTTCTCTTTTTCCATCTTATTCTTTGTAAACTGAGGACTGAAAAACTACAGATACTTTCTTTGTATCACTATTTATACATACAGTTCACTGCACCCGGTAATATTCAAGCTTTGAGGATGCTGTCCATACTACTGCCGGTTAGTTTCAGAAGAGAATGCATACATTGTAAAAACACTTGAGAATTAAACAGAAGAGAATTTTAACAAGTTGCCTTTCCCTTTTCTTTTTTTGAAGTCCTTTTTGCTTAGAGGAAAGTTATGGAACGAACAAATTTTGACAACAATAAAGGTGTTATGATGAATTAACTCTCAGAAGAATTATTAAGGTATTAGATTAAGAATAGAATTTTGATGCTTATGCTTTTTGTGCCTGATTACGTTATGAAGTCGAATTTTCTAAATAAAAATTAATCTTCTTAGTGGCTATAAATAGATATAATGAAAGAGAGATTTTTTACAAGATTATTCTTTCTTTTATTAAATAAATTAACTTATAATAAAAGTGGAGCATACATACATTTCGAGTATTTTTAAGTTTTTTTAAAAAATATATTAGAGACATATTTTTGTATTGTGTTATGTTGCAAATGATTCGAATAGTTTTTATTTTTTGTAGACCTTTATAGGACATTAATAAGAACAAGCAATAATTCACTGAATTACACTACTGAAAAAATCTATACAAGCCAAACATTCTCTAACATGCTTGATTAGATATTTCATGCCAAATTCGAATTTGTAAACATAAATTACTAGACTTATCATTTGGAGATATTTTGGATCAAAGACTTAAAAGGTATACTTTTTCGCTATTTTGAATGTAATTTTTTAAAGAAAATTTTAATTACAAATACAAGTACTTTCCTATACAAGTACTTAATTTCTAGTTAAATTTTAGATTTACTTCAAAATATAAATAATTTTTAGGAATGTATTTTCACTAATCATAAATGTCATTTACATAATGAAAAGCATAAAAGTCATTTTTATTTTGTATTAAAATTATCTCTCTCCCCTTATTCTTATGCTCTGTAACAGTTTTCGCGTTATATATTTTTACTATTCTAAATTAAATTTTTATCTTTCCTTTTCCGCAGAATCGTACACTGAGAAAAAAAAAGGTTAAAACTACTAGAATATGTTTAAAAAGTGCCATGTTACTAGCTCTATAGGAACACCAAAATTCTCTGTAATTTTTACCGAAATGCATTGGTAAGGATTTTAGTAAAACAAGCATTAAAATATGGTTTTGTAATATGTGATAAAATTTAGTAATTGTGGTAAAAATTCCTATTTTTATCATTATACCTTTGAGCACAGCATAAAATATCTTTATTTGGTTAAAGTAACTTTTAAGTTTTGTATTTTTTACCAAATGAGTGGTAATAAGAACTATGATTTTAAAATCAGAATATCTGGTAAATCGTTACCATGTGAAAGGGAAAATAAAGAAATGGATGGTTTAAATGCCGTATATTTTGGTTTCATGACAAGAATTATGATGTGTTTTTTTTATCACAAATGTTATTACCATACAGTACTGTAATTATACCAGAATTGTTTTTTCTGTGTATGTTTGATGAAAGAATTTGATCCAATAATTAGTTTTTTAGCAACACGGTTGTAAATCTCCTGTTACTTTGGATCTATCAGTATAGATATATTTTTCCAGAATTGTAATTAATACGATGATTAAAAAAAACACGTAAGTTTGACAAACAGTGTTATCTTTACTATATTCTTTATATATTTATTTTAGTTCCTTGAAAATGCCATGTACTCTATAGGCTTTACGTAAAGCTTTGAACACATTGATCGAATTAAAAAAATTTCAATGAAATTATCATACAAATATTCGGCAATAGTAATTAGTATCTATTATTTATTATTGCTTCCACTTTTAATACTTTTTTTTTTGTTTTACTAAGTAAATTATAAAGTACTTCTTTCTTATTTTCACTTTAAATAATAATAATTGAAAAAATAATATTCTTACTTTAACTTTGTATTGATCCATATTTTTTTCACTCAAAAAGGGGAAATCATTTCGTAAATAGTGCAATATTATTTAACCGTTACTGCTATTTTTTTTTAAAGTAGTACAAGGTAGAATTGTACTGAATGGGTTTTAAATAATTTTCACATCATCACTGTCACATTTAGGTAGTAAAAATTTCAAAATTCCCTGATCTTAGGGGCATTTTTCAGGAGTAAGCACAATGCGTAAAAAATGGAAAATATCCTTTTTTTTTAAAAAAAAAAAGAAGAAAAAAGCCCTATAAGTCTAGGTGTCAATTACAAATTAGATCGAACCATGATTTAGTGCAACAGAATAAAAATTATCAGCTAAACACATAATTTATAGCAGTGTTTATTTAACGTTATAAGAAAATAATGAAATCATTCTTGTAAAAAAGAAAATATTGTGATTTTTTTTCTAATATTTTATATTCTAAACTCCTTTCAAGCTACGTTTTTGATTAATGCTAATATTTTATAGAGATAAACTTGGTTAAAATCTAGAATTTAATAATGAATAAAAAACATTTTTTGTCGTTAATCAGTGATTTAATGAAAATATAATTGAAAATTATCATTTTTCAGAATAATACAAAATTTACAGTTTATAGTTGGAGAAGAATGTTTCTGTAAAATAATCTTTCGTGGTGCAAAATCTTCTACATCTCGTGTTGTAATCCTAGAGATCTCGATTTCAATGTCCCAGATTTTTGAAATTTAAATGAATTATGAACACAAATAATAATATTATATGAATTTTAAAATTAGAATCCATCTATAGAAATTTCATTTTTCTAGTTTTATTCTATTTTTAACCACGTCTGCTCTCAAATGAAGATTGAAAATTTCAAACGATCGTGAAATTCAATTGAAATCGTTTGAAAACCGGAATAAACTAACTACCCGTTACAAACTTCAGCGAAACGATAATCTCAATTTAAATTGTAATCCTACTCAGTCGAAGTCCAACCGCAAATTTTTTTTCTTCTTCCTACCTCGCATCACCGCATTACCATCATGATTTTTACGTCAACAGGGGTCGCGCTTGTTTCCATCTCGTCTAACTTCATCGGCATCCCATGTATGGAATGAAAACGTCCCCGAGCATCATCCGTTAAGTATTCTGTTCGTCCATCCGTCCAACAGACTGGTTTTTAAGTGTTTACTTAACGCGCGCTCCTTTATAATCCTTTGAGCCCGATTTCAGAACTTCATTAATGTTTCCGAGCGTCACACCTGCTTGCAACAATTTCCTCCTCGTTCCATTTTCGTGTTTACCTCGTTTTGGCGAAGAAGTCGGGAACGGAGAGTGATTTGTGTTCGTTTGTCTTTGCCGCGCTTTAATAGCCTCTTTGTTAGTAAACACAGGAGAAAAGATTTGTTTTGTTTAGAAAATTTTTATTTCTCTTCTAAGACTTTTGTCGTGACAAGAGATATTAATCTACGCTTGTATTTGTGATCATCTGCAATAATTATTTGCAAATGGATTTTTTGTAGAATTAAGCTTTTATCGAAACAATTAAAAATGGGCTAGTTAATTTTATTAATATTTTTATATTATTTTCGCTCAGCATTAAAAAAAGGTAATCAAAATGGAATACTGTGATGGACCTGTGATGATGATGACTGGCAATGGAACAGCCGAACCTCCGGATTTTGAAGTAACTCTCCTGGAACCACGGCCTTTCCGGCCTTTTAAAAGTTCGGAAGAATATTTATATGCTATGAAAGAGGATCTTGCGGAGTGGTTGAATGGTTTATACGAAGGATTAGATCTAGATGCTGATAATTTTTTGGAGCAAATGGAAACCGGCGTTATTTTGTGCCAGCATGCTAACAATGTTGTTCGAAAAGCTAGAGAATATTACAGGTAATTAATCCATCAAAATTAATTATGCGTATTGTATTTGTTGCCATTGAGAACTCATTTTACATATCTCTACTGTACACTACAAAATCTACAAAACTATGGAATTGATTTGGAGAAATAAATTAAAATGAATGTATCTTTGCCTTCTCAAAATAAATTATATTATAAAAAATTGAACAATAAATACTTAAAAGACAATTTTTTTAACATGCGAATTATTAGTTTTTGTAAATTTAAATTTTTGTTAATAAAAAGTTCAGCTTTGTAAGTTAACTCATTAATGTCAACGTGGAAATCAAAATTTTTCAGTCATATTTTTCTTACATACATTATTATTCAATGTAAAATAAACTGGAAAGTTATTTAAAAAAGCTCTGAGAATATTTTACATTTGAGAAAGTGAAATAAACTCAATTTGAAAGTCACTACTTGCCTATTACTAATATTTACTTTTTTGATATGTCGTATTTCTAAAATTGTATTTTAACAATAAATAAATCGTAAGAAAAATTAGATATTTTATTATCTACGTGATAAGGGAAAAAATTTTTGTAACCAATTGCGATAGATTACATTGAATAAGTTTTTAATATTTAAAATTTGCTGAAAAGTTTATTAATTTAAGATAAGTTTCATGAATTTGTTTTAAGAAAGATGTATTTTTATGGCTGTTTTTCAGCAATAAGTATAAACAAATTGTTGAAAATAATGCAAATACAAATAAAATAAGTTGTACTAGTATTATTATCTAGTTATTAAGAGGATCATTATCATGTAGGAATTATTAATGTGCTATATAAGTCTCATTTAGTAGAATAATATTAGCAGAATAATAGAAGTAGAATAATAATAGTAGAATAATAATAGCATAAATTTATTAATGGGTTAATGCTTTTAATAAATTTATAAAAAAATTTTAATAAAGATATTACATGGTTACTTCTGAATGCAATACATTTGTATCATTTGGTTTCAGATCAAGTGCAAATAATAGAAAGTTGATGGGGAAAAAAACTTAATTCACCGCGTTTCCGATGCTTTCTTTTGAAAAAAAAATTTTAGAATTGTGAGTAGTCGTCCAGAACATGGTTAATTTATAAGCAAATTATTGTAGAGTGGCAGAGGAACATATTTGTAATTAACTGTATTTAATTTCTTATAATTTGCATTTGATCTACTGATAAAAAATGATTTTGAAACTTTTACAAATTAACCTTCAACGTATCATGGTCAAACCAGTAACAATTTTTTTTTTGTGTCTTAAGATGATGCAAACAAAATATTAAAACAAGACATTTCATAAAATTATAGACAGCTTGTGAATCCGGCCGCCATGTTGTTTGAGACTAAATGCTTCTTGGAGAGGAAGAGGAAAATCTTTCTCCCCAACATTTGTTCCTCATCTTTCATAAATCATTCGCTTAAATAAGACAGATTTGTTTATTATTTCATACTGTAAACTTCATTCATCATGTGTGATGATGATCGCCCAAAGCGTCATGACATAATATATACAATGCTTTTTCTAAATATTTTACAGTACATAAATTAAGAAAACTTATTACTGTGCATAAATTTAAAAAAAAAATACGTTAATAAAGGCTGTCTCCTCTTTTTATTTAACTAAAAGAGAATCTTTACCATTCATGTTTTCTTTATGAAACAGTGGTATGTTTTCACAATTTACAAACTATTGACAGATATCATTTTTTAAACACTACTTACCCAAAATGATAACGTAAACCCAAAAAGTGCTTTGTGCCTAAAAGTGCTAAAGTGCTTGTGCTAAAAGTGCCTTATTTGATCTAATTTGAATAATCTAATTTGACCAAATGGTTCGATGAATGATAGATATTTAGAATCGTTCTCTTATTTTCAAACGATTTAAAAAAATATCCGATATTTTTAGAAAATTTCCCAATTTAAAAACTTTGATTTTGAATACACTTAAACTCATCAACAGACTTATTCAGTTACAGAGCATTTTACTTCGATTATGAAAAATTCTTATCCTTTATATCTCTGTATAAAACGCTGCATACTTTTTCGCAATAAACTAATTGCAAATCGGCAATAGTAAAACTTACAAAACGCCCTATTTGATTCAAAATGAATAAATACTTAATTAAAAATAACGATTATAAGCAAACGATTCGATAGCAAACGATTTAAAAAAGTAGTAGATATTTAGAATCGTTTTCCCATTTCCAATTTTAAACTTTTGATTTTGAATACAGCTTTTTCAAGCATTCTACTGCAATTGTTTGTTGTTCAAAATTTAAAAGATGATGAATTTTGATGTATATTTTTTGATAGAAAATAAAAATACAGAGTTTTTATTGACATTAGTGTCATTATTAACATTTAGTGTCAGCAATCTGTAATATAAATATTTAACATTTACCTGAATAATCTAATCAGAATTTTTTTCATTCAAAGTTATAATTTTTAAAATTAAAAAATTCTCTATTATTAATGCTTTATAATATTATTGCCCAGCTTATTTGTTTTAGTTAAAACGTAAAAAAAAAAAAAAACCTTTTAACAGAATGCACTTGTTAGAGCATTTGCATTAGCAATTTGTAATAATACATATTAATTAAAAAATGACTCACAAAGAGCGATATGCTTTCTTATAAAAGCAAGAAATGTAAATATACAATATTTACTCTGAATTTTCTGGCCAATAATTCGTGATTTCAAAGACAATTCAGTCACACTCAAATTGTTAATCTCTTTAGTTTTTAGCGTTTTCAGTAAAATTATAACAACGGATTATTTGCCGATTCTTTTTTTATTTTTCATGAAATTAATTGCTGCAACTTCAGTAAAGAAATGTGTGTTAAAGTTTGGACATATTTTGAGTTTGGTCTAATTATTTCAAAATATACTTAAATATTATATTATTTTAACATTTTTTAATTTAAATACTTAATTTTGGACTTGATATTTACACTTGTTTTAAGGATTATAATTCTGACGATTATTCTCGTTCTTGACGATTTTGCATTTCAAAATTACATATCAGTATACAATTAATGTCCTATTTGCTATGTTTAAAAATTTTTAAAAGTAATTTGTTACTTTTAGCTATAATTTTTAACTTGTTTTTTCTTAAGTTATCTTTAATTTCTAAATTAATGATTTTAATTTTTAATTGCCAAAACCAAGTCAAAAATTTAATCACATTGAAGTTATTAACAATTAGGGAAATGTCTTTTCGATTATTGGTAAAATGCAGCACCGTTATTAAGGCTGTAGTTAATGTACATGATATTAAACTTGCTCCAAAAATTGTTAAGAGGGTACAAGACAATTTATTGTTTATACAGAGCAGAAATAATTTTTTTTCCAATTATTTATTGCATTTAAAAAAACTATGTATTTTTCTTTATCTTGCTAAACTGCCAAAAAGTACGGATTTCCTGTTTTTATCTAATGTTATCTCAATAAATGCTGAATAAATTTCGGCCACTTTTCTCAATTCGTGATAAATAAGTGTAATGTGCTAGATAACTGCAGCTAAAGGTAGAGTTCAATCTTAGAATCAATATGATAAGAAAGTTATAAGAAGAATATGATACTCGTAAAAAGCATATCTAATTGATAAGTCCCGAAATATATTAATGTAAATAATGTTTTTCTTTTTCTAGAACTTTATCCTTACGCTAAAAAATTTTTAATAAAATTTAATTTTCATTGCTTATTCTCGAATAAAAAAACCCAACCCTTTTAAAGTTTGTTATTTAGGAAAGATATGAAGTAGTGGAAGATTAAAAGGACATTTTTAAAATACGTGCCTTAGTTTTCGATATAAGGTTATATTTCGGCCAGGCACGTTGTTCAGTGACAATATTTTTTTCAGGGAGGGGAGGGGAGAAAATATTTTTTTAGAAAATTTCTGACCATAAATAATAATAATAATATAATAATTCCATTTTCAATTTTGAAAGATTTGGAGGGGGTTCCAACTCCTACCTCAGCTCCGTCCCTGGTTTTAGTGGGCTCTATAGGTAGAGCATCAATTTAACCAGCAGTCTTTTAATAGGATAGTTCTCTAGGAAAAAATGTTTTGTAAACCGCTTCTTGACGTTCTTTGCATTTCGGATTTCTGTAATTTTGATGAACTCTTATTTTACATGTTCCTGCATCCTCCTAAAAAAGAATATAAAACCTAAATATCACTTTCTACCTCCGCTGTTTTTTTATTTCATTTATTATTATTTTTTTTTATTTTATAGAAACACCTAATAGCACAAGGTGGAAAAAATGTGAGTGAACGTGGAAAATAACATTTGTCATTACATTTTACGTTTTTGCAATAGAAGCGTCATAAATGTTTTTCTGTTTCTGCACGTGACAGCTCATTATTCTGAAAATTTAATTACTTAATTCGTAAATTAAAAAATAAGCGAAAGAAAATTGCACCCTCTCTTTAAATTTGACTGCTAAGTTAATAATTTGTTGCTAATTAAAAAAGAATTCAATATCCTACTAAACCCATTTTTAAAATTTCATTGTTCAAATTTATATATTTTCACAACTAAAGCGAAATAAACAACATTTTTTTCTTATTTGAATTTTTTCAAAAATGATATTTCAATCACTTAGTAAATTTTTTACTGCAATTTTCCAGTGAGACGCATACAAAAATTTATTTTACAACAATGTTAATTTGAAATCTATCACCTATGAAACTGAGAATTCCAACAGGGATATGGTTTTTCTCTCATTATATCAATTTCAAACAATAATTATACAGCAAATCATGCCAGCAGTTGATTTCTTTTACGTTATTTTTAAACAGATAGAGATAAATAGTCAACATGCAAATTAAATAGATTATTTAAAATATTCCAGGAGTGGCAATGCAGTCCACGGCGATGTTCCTATTCCAGATCGGGATGTTGTCTACCGTTATGATGTTCTTCCAGAAACATTCCATGCTCGAGACAATGTGAGCAATTTCATTAGTTGGTGTCGATCCCTGAACATTAAGGAATGCTTGCTTTTTGAGACTGATGACTTAGTGCTGAGAAAAAACGAAAGAAGTTTCATCCTGTGTCTTTTGGAAGTGGCAAGAAAAGGTGTTAAATTCGGAATGCCGGCTCCACTACTTGTGCAGCTTGAGCAAGAAATTGATGCAGAGATTGCAAATGATGATGATGGCTATGAAACTCTGTATAACAAACCGCAAGTAGTTACTAATGATCTTAGGAGTCTCCACGAAAGGGTAAGTTCTTGCTTAAATAGCTAGTATCATTAAAAGAAAAAAAATGTTTTTTGATTCACTTAAATTCGTAATTTGAGTTTTGAAAAATCCCAAGATTTTAAACCGAATTCGAATAAAAACTGACTATTATAATTATCTTGTATTTAACCTAACGTAATTTAAATCATAGTATTTTAACATAAAGTGCCATAATGCCAATTATATATCAAAACATTTTAAGGAAAACTGCAATTTACACACACTGAGAAAAAAAAAAGCATAGTCAAAATAATCGAAGTATGGTAAGATTTACCATGTTTCTGGCTCTAATAGTCTGACCAAAAAGCTCATTTATTTTAACCAAAACACTTTAGCAACGATTTTGGTAGAATTAACAGTAAAATAATATTTTATAATGTGTGTTAAAATTTGGTAAATGTGGTAAAACCTTAGTAATTCTATCATGATACGTTAGAGCACTGTTTCCCAAAGTGTGGTACGCGTACCCCCAGGGGTACGGGAACAGTTTAGCGAGGGTACGAGTTCTTATGCGAAATATCTCGCAACAAACGAAAATTTCAAAAAGTTTTATTTAAAAACAAAGCTAGCCATGGAAATTTACGATTGCGTATTTTTCTATTGACTATTTTTTACAGAGTTAACAGTTAATAATTAGTGGTGTCAACAGTTAGTAGTGATTTTTAACTTTTATGCAATTTTTTTATTGTAAAAAATACATTCATTTTTTTTAAATTAGTGGTACACAGCGTTACGAAAAATGTAGAAAGGGTACACAAAAGTCATAAGTTTGGGAAACACTGCGTTAGAGTATAGCATAAGAAACCAGTTATTCTGTTAGATTTACTTTTCAGTTTTATATTATTAAATAAATATGTGGTTATAAGAACTAATAATTTTGAAAACCAGAATTTACGGTAAATGGTTACTATATGAATAGAAACATTATCAAATAAATGGTTTAAATACCGAGTAAATTTGTTTTATTACAAGAATTATGGCGTGTGTGTTTTTTTATCACAAATGTTTTTACCCTACAGTACGGTAATTATTCCAGAATTTTTTTTCTCCGTGATTGAAATGAAACAGATATTCATAAATTTTCTGAGATTGAGTGAAAATTATGTTCTGTTTTCTTTTAATAAAAACGTGACACGGAAACTTTCTGGTTGCATTGTATGTCAGTTAAAAGTTACGATTGTTCCAGATACTTTTTCGAGATATGTGTTTCCTATTTGAAACATAATGAAAAGAAACGATAAATATTATTCTCCTATGACAAATTTTTAATTATAAATGATAAGATAAGCTTTTTAGTTTTCTAGTGTTAAAAAAACTGTACATTTTAACTGAATGAATAATTTAAAAAAATACTATAATATTATCTAAACGGAACAGCTTATTACTAGTGATTAATGTTCGAAACAGCACAACAAATCCAGCGTATTTTATCTATATTAACACAGTTTCTTAATACGATTTGCTTTATTTTGCTTGCAGTTTTCTTATCTAAACAATAAATTTTCATTAAAAATGCTATTGTTCGAATTCTTAAAAATCTAGTTTATATTGCGCAATGTATTAACCACTAAATTCAAGCTCCTAATCGAAAGGGTTGCTTTTTATGCGTGATCAACTGAAAAGAATAGGAAGTTATAATAATTGCTTACTTATCATGTTTTCCTGGTGTTAAACGCCATGAATTAAAGTTACTGTTCGTTTAACACTTATTACGAAAGAGAAGTGTAGAACTTTCATCTCTTTTTTTTTCCTTTCATCTTAATAATAGCCATAACTCTTTCCTACTTAAATAATTTTCCAATTAAGATCAAATAGCAATGAATGATTTATACAGACAACATCTATTTAAGGAGAACTTAATTTTTACCAAACTTGTTGACGCAAAGTTTGACAACAATTAAGATTGACAAATGATTGAGGTTTGTAATCATGTGGAATAGATGCTTGGCGTTTTATGTTCATTAATCTGATTACAACCTTGGGTTATTTTTTAAATTTATTTTGCTTGTTTGACAACAAAAACTTTCAATAAAGATAGCGGACTCATACAGCAAAAAAAAAATTACGCTTAATGTTATTGTTATTTATAAATATTATTAAAATATGTATTGTTATTATTATAAGGTAGATTTATAGACAAATACCTAGACGAAAACAATTTTTAATTATTTAAATTTATAATTTAAATCATTCTGTGTGGCTTAACATTGGCGTTGAAATTCATGTGACAGATTTTAAGTTAGAGCTTATTTTCAGTTACTGGTTAGTTTTATTATTCAAATAAGCTTCCGTATTTCTAGTTAGCTTAGAAAATTATCCTTATATTTTATTGAGAGCCATGGTGGCTCCGTGGATGGAGTATTCGCCTTCCAATGACGTGACCGGGTTCGAATTCCAGCGATGGCTGGTCAATACGAGTTCCGCTCCGGGCTCGAACTGACCACAGTGCTGGCGTAAAATATCCTCAGTGGTAAATGGATCATGGGTTTGAGTGCCCTTGCCGTCAGGTTAACCGTGGGAGGTTTTCGTGGTTTTCATCTCCATGTAAAGCAAATGCGAGTTAGTTCCATCAAAAGCCAAAAGTATGAGAGTATAAGAATACTAGAAACTGTTAATGTTTGTGTATCGTTTTCGAGTTTCACCACAACAAATGTTTCGTCATATAGTTACGTGTATAAAAAATTAATTTGAAAAAACTTAGCTGGAATTTGGGTTATCTTTTATTAATATTGATTTTCTTTAGAAATGGAAAACTTGAAATTTAGTATTTCTACCTCACTGTAAGAAATTCCGAATAAAATTACGGTGTAAAGAACCAGCACTTTGGGTATAGCATCCATAAAATCCATTTTTACCGTAATTCTTACAGTAACATTTATTTAGTTATAGTTATTCAATGATGCTACGATATTTATTACTGTGAAAATTACGATACATCAAATTTATCATTCCGTAACATGTTCCGGGATAAATGTAGTTTGCCGTAAAAAATACCGGCATCATTTGTGCCAGTACTTTTTACCGTAATTTGATTAGTAATTTTTTTTAGTTCATTACTACTACTAAAAACCTTGTAACATTTAAATCCATTTGCTCTTTACTTTTATTTTTGTTAAGCTAGTTATTAAATCTAAGCTTTAGTAAACACATCAGTACGAGTTATAAGTAAGTTATGATATGCACTTGCGACACACACTTCCTGTAACCTAGGCATAGCGTTGAGTTTTTCAGTTCAATGCATAATTATGCATTTCCAGAGCTCGTGTATCATCACACCAAATTGATGTCCTGATGCCCTTTAATTTATACGGTTGTTCTACACTGTTTGAAAGGTTAAATATGTGATTTTCAGCAGTTGGTCTACTAATTGGTGAATCATTATTTGAGTAATGTCTGCGAAGGAAGTAACCTCACTGTGGGTAGACGAAATATTTCTGAATAAATTTGTGGATTTTTTAGCACAAATAAAGAAATTAGTATAAATACTGAGAATAAATCATTAAAAGTTACGTACTGGAAAAAAGAAGCTAATTGGCATGAACATATAAAATATGTTGGCTTTAATATGGGAAATGTAGGCATTACTGAGTCTAATTAAAATGAATTTGGAAGTTTCAGATAACGAGTTGGCTATGCGCCATACTGTCTTAAATATAACCGATGTCTCCACTGAATTTCTATAAATCTTTTGAACTCAAACTTCGGTGATCTTTCATAAACTTGAAATTTATGCTTCCATTTTTTTTGTCGAATAGTAAAAATTTTTTAGCTCAATAAATAAAACTTTTTGTCAATTCCACCACTTTTATTGTACTCTTTAAAAGCATATACTATCTCAGTTAAAGAAAATCATGCAGTCCTAATAATATTTTTTTAAATTTTCACATGCTCTTGGAGTCGTTGGTTTATTAACTCTCACGTTTAGTTACTTTCATGAGTATACCATTTCTTAATAATGAAAGACTGGGTTTTAAGAACATAACATGATATGTTAAGTTCATAACAGATAATTTTTAAGTTTTTTGAAGAAAAAAAAATACATTTTTAAAACTTAATGAAAATTGAAGTAAATTTAAATGACACCAGCAGTTACTTTCACAACATTGTTAGAACTGCTTAAACTTTATTTAACTAGTTATTTAATTTACATTTAAAGTCTACAAATGTTAAATAAATGATTGAATCAATGCTCCTTTTATAAATTGTAGGACGATCAAATGTGACAAAAAAGTTGATAACTAAATAACTGACTAGTGATCAGTTATTTAGATCAGCACGTCTCCAAGCACAAAAATAATATATACCTATTAATTGAAGCTAGGCTTAACATTTATTAACTCGCATGCTGGAAACAAAATAATTTATCTATCAATACTTGACTCTTCAGTACACAAATCTTAACTTTTCAATAATGTTATAGGCAGTGCGAAATATTAAATACCTGAATATATTTCATTCTAATGATCGTATTTCATGTTCTAACATGGAATTTTAATGATTAGAGGGATGAATTTGAAGTATTCTTGTTCAGTGCATTAGTGCAGACGATATTTTAAGTCTCGAAATCAGACACAAAAAAGTTCTTATTCGGAAAAAAAGTGCCTTGTTTTCAGTTTGTGATTCACGAAACAAGGGGTTAGATGCCATCTGGAAAACACTGCTCCAATTAGTTTGACCAGAAGAAGGGTCAAAAGTTAATCTTAATTTCTTTTTTTGCTTTTTTTACTATGTCTGTTAAATTGTTTCAGAGAAACACAAGACTTTTGCACACGATATTGAAACCTGCTTATTCAAAGATAACACCACGAAAAGAAATTATAATTATTTTTTATTATTTAATTTAAAATGACAGCAAAAAATTTGAATTCGGAGTTAAACAAATTTTTTAACCGTATTAAAGCAACAAATGCTGTCAAAAACTTATACCAAATCCTAAACACCCGGACAATAATCCGAACTTATAAGGAAAGTGGTGGAATAAT